GAAGATGAAGAGAAGAAGAAGAAGAAGAAGAAGAGAAGAAGATTCTCTCACTAAGAAGAGAAGAGAAGGAAGAGAAGAAGAGAGAGGAAGAAGAGAAGAAGAAGAAGGAGAAGAAGAAGAGAAGCACAAGAGAAGAAGAGAAGAGAAAGAGAAAGAAGAAGGAAGAGGAGGAGGAAAGGAAGAAGAAGAAATCAGAGAAGAAGCGAAGAAAGAAGAGATCCTCCAAGAAGAGAGAAGAAGAAGAAGAAGGAGTCCTAGAAGAAGAGAGAAGAATAAGAAGAAGAAGAAGACGGAAGAAGGAAGAGAGAAGAAGAGAAGAAGAGCAGAAGTAGAAGAAAAAAAGAGAGAAAAAGAAGAAGAGGAAGAGAGGAAGAAAGAGAATAGAGCAGAAAAAGAGAAGATGAGAGATCAAGAAGAGAAGAAGAGAAGAACCATGAAGAAGAGCAGAGAAGAAGAAGAGGTAAGAAGAAGAAGAAGAGAAGAAGAAGAAGAAGAAGAATAGTAAGAAGAAGCAGAGAGAAGAAGATGAGAAGAAGTAAGAGAAAGAAGAAGAGAAAGAAGAAGCTTGAGAAGAAGAGAAGAAGGAAGGAGAAGAAGAAGAGAAAAGAAGAAGAATGAGAAGAAGAAGAAGCAGCAGAAGAAGAAGCAGACGAAAAGTAGATTGCAGAAAAGAGGAAAGAAAAAGAAGAAGAGAGAGGAAGAAGAAGAAAAGAGATGAGAGAAGAAGAAGAAGAAGAAGAAGAAGAATAAGAAGAAGAAGAAGAAGATGATGATGAAGAAGAAGAGGAAGAAGAAGAACAAGAAGGAAAAGGAAAAAAGAAGAAGAAGAAGAAGGAGGAAGAAGAGATAGAAGAAGAAGAAAAAGAAGAAAGAGAAGAAGAAGAAAAAGAAGAAGAAGAAGAAAAAGAAAAAGAAGAAGAAGAAAAAGAAGAAGAAGAAGAAGAAGAGGAAAAAGAAGATGAAGAAGAAGAGGGGAAGAAAAACAAAATGAAGAAGAAGGAGGAGGAGGAAGAAGAAGAAGAAGAAGAAGGAAGAAGAAGAAGGAGGAGGAGGAAGAAGAAGAAGAAGAAGAAGAAGAAGAAGAAGAAGAAGAAGAAGAAGAAGAAGAAGAAGAAGAAGAAGAAAGAGGAGGAGGAGGAGGAATAAGAAGAATAAGAAGAAAAAGACAAGAAGAAGAAGAAGAAGAAGAAGAAGAAATGGGCACTTTACTCTTATCTGAGATAGTTCATTAACCTTTGGAAGTATATTTATTCATTAATGAATGTCTAGAACGCTGGGATCTCATTCGGGAGACCGGGGCTTGAATCCTCGGTAAGGCTGGGGATTTTTTTCTGTTAGGGGCAAAATAAAATCCTCACCCACACAGTTGTGGAAACAGCACTAGCCATGCAGCTTTCAAACCTTGGGCTCAAAGACCCCCCTGTCTACACCGCAAAATGTGGTATATAAAGGCAGTAACTGGCAGGTGTTTTTTTTAAAATTCATTCATCAGTAACAAGAGGGCAACAATGACAAAACAGCTAGAGTCAACAAAGTCAGTTGCATAATTAAGTCAAACAGTGAAACAAACAAATATAAAGAAGGTGAAAATATAGTCATTGTAACAATGTATATAACAAATATCCGTACCACAAATAACTATAGAAAAATTTTAGTAGAAGCG